CGCTGCAAAACCATTATTGTTTTGTTCATCATCGACGATAACAATAATATCATAGAGGTAACTAGGAAAATCCACTAACCCCTCATTACATCTGTCAAACTTTCATAGCGAATCAAAACAAACATTGTGTAGTAGTAGAATTTCGACTAGAATGGGGTACGTTAATCGTTTGCTTGGGACCAATAGGCTAGTCAAGTAGTGAGCCAATTTAAGATCGTTAGTTTCGTATTGATTGTTGGTACAACGGTACTGCTTTGTATGTCTGTCAATGGTATAAGAGACTGTGATGTCGGATTAGGAAGAGCTAGAGTAGGAAGATACCACAGAGGTAACTCTAAGACCAGAAGGTCCCGAAAAAACGTGTTCAACATTTTGGGTGAGCTTTGGTACTCTCTTCGATCCCAAGCTAATCGATGCACCCTTTGAAACATAAGAAAATCCACGTACCCCTCATTTTATCTGTCAAACTTTCATAGCGGATCAAAACAAACATAGCGTAGTACTAGAATTACGATTAGAGCGGGGTATGTTAATGGATTTGCGTGGGACCAATAGGCTAGTCAAGCAGTGAGCCAATTTAAAATCGTTAGCTTCCAACTGGTTGACTGTACTCTTTTAAGAAAGTACCTCAAATTGTACATTTTGCAGTACTAGCTGCGTACAGTCCCAGACAACCAAAATGCACGTATATTCAAAGTTATTTTTGTGATATACAAACATATATACAAACAATCAAATCGTAAAGAATGCAAAAAAAATGGCTTACACGTACAAAAGTGGAGGCCATATACGTGCAATTGTTAATTTATTTTTAAACGAGTTTATTTAACAGCATATACGATTTAATATGTAATAACAAATTTATTTTGAAAAGTTTTACGATGTTATCCGATTTAATTTGTGATACAGTACGATGAAAAAATGATTCATCGGAAATAAGTCGGAAATTTGCATTCTATACGATTTAACTTAAACGTAATGCGATGCATGTCATTCTTATATGCGATGTTGACTTAAACTGTGGTAATTTACGATACTTACTGTACATTGTTATACGACTTCTGGTTGTCTGGGGTAGTATCAACCAGTGGAAACTAACGATTTTAAATTGGTTCACTACATGGCTAGCCTATTGGTTCCAAGTACATCTATAAGTGTACCCCATTATAGTTAAAATTCTAGTGCTACACTATGTTTGTTTTGATAACAGATAAAATGTGGGGCTCATGGATTTTTCTATGTTTCGAGGGGCGCATCGATTAGCTTGAGACCGAAGAGAGTACCAGAGCTGAGCCAAAAAGTTGAGCACGTTTCTTCGGAACCTTCTGGTCTTAGAGTTACCTCTATGGTACAGTGGTGAACTTTGAGTGTCTTTCTAAGGCCTTAAATACATTAAGCTAAATATATGCGTAATATATCATGTAATTTGACTAATTTTCAATTTCAGCAGTTTACTTTACTTAACCATTAGAGAAACACGGAAAGTGAACATTTTTTTTTTTACGAGTCCAGGACAAGCCTTCATTGCACAGCTATGCTCAAAGCAATAATCTGAAGGATAATAAAATTCAAGAGAAAAAATATCTGAAGAAACCAAAGTATTTTAATTGCCATTCGATGATATAAGAAGATGTAACTCGGTTCAATTTGAATGGAATTATTTCATTTCACCATGAAAATTATAAATTAGCTCTATTCATATGGCACTCTTGTCTGTTGTTTGACATCCACACATGGTGAAACCAAAAGTTGGATTTCCATAGAGAAATACCGTTGCGGCGGTTAAGGCCAATCCCTTTGTTTATGTCGTGTGGCGACATCTACTATTTGCAAGTGGGTACGTGAAACTTATGGTATCTGTCACCTTGCCGGGGACTTGCGTCCCAATGACGCGTTCATCTAGATAAAATTGATAAATAGCAGATTTTAAGCGATGGGCCCAATCTTCGATCCATGGTCAACATTAATGCCATTTCCCCTATATAAAAATGAATTTCTGTCTGTCTGTCTGTCTGAACCTTATAGACTGGGAAACTACTGAACCGATCGGCATGAAAATTTGTATGCAGGGGTTTTTTGGGCCGGGAAAGGTTCTTATGACAGTTCGAGACCCCTCCCCCTCTGTAGGGGGGTGGGGGGTTCCCATAATAATGAAACAGAAATTTCTGCATAACTCGAGAACTAATCAAGCAAATGGAACCAGATTCTACATGTGGAGGTCATATGGAGTAGAGGGGGGGGGGAGGGGGGCTAGGTACGATATAGCATGTTTTTTTAATCGGTGTATAAACTCAAGCTAATATTGAATCCCGAACAAGACCGGGCACACTCAGTTAGTTCAGCATAAAACCAAATGCGATTAAGCCAAAAGCATCACTAAGTTAAATGAGTGAATAAAAAGCCGCAAAATGTTTCTAAATTTTAAGTACCTTAAACATTGGCATCGAACTCTTTACAGATTTTCGTTTAGAATGTTCTAATCAATATTTATTAAAATTCATTTCAGTTCTTTTCAGGAATCCTGTTCAATAAATTTGAGAGTCTTTTCGGAATTACCCTTAAATTTTTTTATAAGAGTCCAGAAACTCAAGTCTGAACAATCCTTACACAAAGTATGAAATTCAACCTAAGATTTAGTGTGGGTTTTTAGATTCTTCCAGGAATTCAATAAAGCATTCAGTTATAATTCTACAATTGAATCGCTTGAATTTTCCATATTACGAAATTATCCCTAGAATAAGAATCATAAGAATCTTCTCAGCATTTATTTGAAATTTTACTCTCAACATTTGATTCCCTTGGATTTCTTCTCAGAATGCCCTTGGAACTCTCCTTAGAATTAACTTGAACTTATCTTAGAATTTGCTATAGAATTGTTTTGGAACTATCCTCAGATGTCAATATCCTCGGAACATCCATGGAATTATCTTTAAAACTTTTTTTTTTTTTTAATTCTTTATTTAAGAGATTTTTAGCCTTAGACCTTTAAAACTCTCAAAATAAATCTCAGAACTTATTACGAATATGTATTCGAAAATGACCAGGAATTCATGTCAACCTTTTAAATTAACGCGGCGCCAATGCTGTAGTGCTAAGCGTGACTGTCTCTCACCCCAAAAGGCCTAGGTCAAATACCAGCCGGTGGCGCAGGGATTTTGTGAGACATAAAATCTCTGATAAAGCCGATGGTCTCTGTACTGAGTACCAATGCTACCGATACCAGAGGCAGCTCTCACACCTGAACCCTACCTATCGATCAATCAACTCATGGACCGGGGACCAACGGCTTTACTTCCCTCCCGAAGGAAGGAGTGATCGGAGATGTTATGCCTCAGAACATCCCGGTGGCGCTGACTGAGATTGAACCCAGACCTGCTGGTGTGAGAGGTAATCACGCTTACCACTACACCACCGGCACCCCTAAAAACTAGTGTAATCGGTGTACTTTAACTGCATGAAAAGATTAAGCAACTGTTATTTTCTTAGAATAATACAACGTATAATTCGCACTAAAAAATTAGAAGTTGTGCGACGTTCGATGTTTTGAATTGACTTCTCCGATTTGCACATTTTTTTTTTCGTAAAAACCTTGTAAAATAATCAAAATAGCATCCATGAAATTTTTCAAAAAAAAAAAAAAAAATATGGGTGGGAACGACATTTATGATCGAAATGATGCCTGAGACAAAGTTGTAGAGAAAAATAATGGGTTTCTGTGAAAGATAATCAAAATATGTATTTAATTTATTTTAAGAAAAAAAAAATAAAAATAAATCTTAATACTCAATTATCTCAGAATGTTCATGTCTGGCAGCTAAATGTACGCTTTGCTGCTTACAACACGTCTTTATGACGGATCGAAGGCGTGTTGCACGAGAATATAATTTTCATGCCATTGGCAAGAACATGATAGATAATTATAAGCGGAGTTGGTCAAGCTAAGAAGTCATTTGTCTACCACGCAAAGGACCCGTGTTCGAATCCCATGCTCAAGTTTTGTTTTGTTTGTTTTTTGCTGCTGGTTTTTATGATGTTTCCAAAACATGTTATAAGACCAGTAATTAGTTTAATAAGCTCCGTGTCTTGCGCTTTTTAGGTTGTATAAATGTATTAAATAATGTATATTGAAGTATTATAGATTCTTTACGTAAGTCATTGAAAAGTATTTTCAACTTCTTTTTGACAAGCCGTGTTGCTTGGGATGCAAAGTTTCCTGAAAATCGGAGATGGTCAAGTTTTTTCGATTCGTCATTTGGCGTGGAACTGCTATGAAACGATTCGCAGTTTACTGAAGGTAAAAGTGACCTAGTGGGTAAATTAAAATGTCAAAAATGGTAGTCTCTGAGACATGACTTCAGATTGCAAAAAGCTCTCGTCGATGTTTTCCTTTTATTATTTCACACAAATCAAAGAGAGCTTTTTTTTCAATCTGAAGTGACTCAGAGATCACAATTTTTTTATTTTTTTTTTATCATCTCGCTAGGTCACTTTCATTTTATTCCTGAGTAATTGATGTTGCATGGAGATGGGAAAAGGGGGATTCAATAATTTAAAATGAAAATTAATAACGAATATTCCTTAACAAAGAGCCAAATATCTCTGAATGACAAGTAATGAATTTGATATTATACAATATATTAGGTATGATCATAAGGGTGGGTCAGCTTTACAACTTCTTGTTACCCGCTGCTCTTTCGATCTGTATTGAGGTCCTCAAAAATTGTGCTTAATTTGAACGGATTTTGTTGCGATCTGGATATGCAGGATAGCTTAAAATTTTGTATGGGAAAAAGTATGGGAAACGGAGAAAAACTATTCATTTACATTATCAACAATTAACGTATTACTAAATATTTCCCATAACTGGGACATTAATTAGGCAATGAATGCAGATGAACTTTATCGAAGACCACAGGGGGTTGTGAACCAACATACAAACTTGACCCACCCTAATGTTAATGATTGTACAGGATGTTAGAAAAATAAATCACAATACTTACTGATGCATTTTCACTACAATAACAGTTTGACTATTTTACAGACACTACAAATATACAATCATGCAAGTGTTTGTGACTGTGTTGTGTGTAAGATGCTATCTCTACTTTTCACAATTGCTTTGTTGTGCAAACTGTCTTCATCTGAAATTAAAAGTTTACCATTTAGTACATATATTTAGTGCAGATAAAAGAATACAGTAATTGATAGTTATAATTAAACATGCAAAACAACAAAAATAGCACTGGGTAAGGGTAAAGCACAAAGGTAAGATAAGTTATCGAGATCATTTTTTAAGCCCCGGAGTACTAAAAACCATCATGAAACTGGGGCTTAAAAAATCGCATAAATGTAGACCTAGAAAAAATAACCAAACACATTGTTTTGTTTCCCCATATTTACTTTTTTGCGCACATTGCTGAAATTTAGTGGAACATTTTCCAGGATTCAACAACCAAACGTCACTATTGCTGAAATCCAGGAATGACACCGCTAAAAAATGAATTTTGGAATTATGAAATCATTAGATATTTTAATCAGAGAGTCACAATCTGTGCACAGCAAAAAAATAATTTTGATATCACGTCAAAGTGGATGCACTACAATCATGTCGAAAATATGGTGTAATATTACTTGCTAAAAAGGACAAAATTATCATTAATACAATGCATGAACTGACATTACGCTGCTTTTACTGCATTTGTTTATTTATGTGGTCATAAAAATTACATGAAATTTTCGACATGATTGTAGTGCATCCACTTTGATGTGATATCAAAATTATTTTTTTGCTGTGTGATTTTATGAGTCGTGAGTGCTCACTCTGAATGAATGCTCACGAATCATTAAATCGATTATTGTAGTTCTTTGATTGCGAAATTCACAGTTGTTTAATCAAAGTTTTTAGTTACTTCATACGTAAAGTTTACGTTTTTCAAAGTTTTAGTGTGCTAGATAAAGTGCTGAAGAGGATACACAGCAGAACATAAATTTTAATATTACATCCAAAAGGATGCACTTCAATCATGTTGAAAATCTCATGTAATTTTTATGACCACAAAAATAAACAGCGTAATGTCAGTTCATGCACTGTATTAATGATAATTTTGTCCTTTTTGGCAAATAATATTACACCATATTTTTGACACGGTTGAAGTGCATCGACTTTAAGCTTATATCAAAATTATTTTTTTGCTGTGTAGATTTAAATTTCCGTTTTGAACGGAAATTGAACAGAAGTTGAAATAGGGCGAAGGGCCGTTAATGCGACAACACTAATCAAATGCGCACTCCTTTGTCTAGCTCACTTAATGGGTGAGGTATTTCCTCAAATCCACAGGCGTGTCAAAGAGTGCACGTTTGACTTTCGTCTGGAATTCGACCGGCTATGGTGACCAGTAACCGACGATGAGACTCATCGAGACGGAGGAACAAGACAAACAAAAACTAATAAAGAGAAACAAAAGACAAAGGAACTCAATTCTTATACTAGACATTTGCAGAAACACATAAATCTACTGCATATAGCCGAGATCGCGGGTTGCCAACACGTCTCTGATAGGAACATAGGGTTGTCTTGCTTGGGCCTCGAGGGTATTGAAAAGTCGCTCTCTGGCGGCGTCATTATCCGTACATTGCCAAACTGCGTGATCAATGTCATAGTAACCGTTTTCACACCGAGAGATGTTGCTGTCCACGAGATTTATTCTATAGAGATGCGCATCTAGCTAGTAGTGATTGGACATAAGTCTACTCATCACGCGAATGAAGTCACGACTTAAGCCCAAGCCTTTAAACCACGCTCTCGAAGAAACATTAAGAATAATTGAATGTAACCACCGTCCAAGATTACCAATTTCCCATCCGGTTGTCAACTCGAAAGGGTACTCTGACGCACTAAATGGTAAAATTCACCGTGTGGAATTTGCCTGTTATACAGTTCGCCTTCCTGCGCGCCCACCTTTGCGAAAGAGTCCGCCTACTCATTGCCTGAGATTGTGCAATGTGAGGGGACCCATACAAAGGTAATCATATATGATCTTTCGACCAGCACACTCATCTGCTCCCTTAACTTTGAAAGGAAATAAGATGAGTGCCTACCTGGTTTCATCGACCAAATAGCCTCAATCGAACTGAGACTATCCGAGAAGTTGAAGTAATGGTCTGCGGGCATGTTGGAAATCATCCCCAACGCGAAGTTTATTGCTGCCAGCTCAGCAACAAAAACGGAACAAGGTTGCTGAAGTTTGCGGAATGCGCTAAAATTTTCATTGAAGGCACCGAAGCCAGTGGATCCATTGAGGCGTAACCCGTCTGTAACATATATTCTCACGCAATTGACGTGTTGGTACTTTTCAGTAAAAATACGTGGGATAATAATAGTTTGAATTTGATCACTTGTTTCATGGACAGATCATATTCAATTGAGAAACTGCGATTGATGAAGTGAGCACGGTCTGAAGTGTAACAAGAAAGACAAATATCCGACGATATGCAGTCGTGGTGGATTCTCATAAATCGAGATTGTGTGTTCAGCCCAAGAATTTCTACTAAATTTGCTTTTATAAGTGTGTTCATCACTCCGCATTTGATGGTATTCTGAGAGAGAGCTCCCAGAAACGGTTCTGGTTCCTTGACGGTCATCCTCGCATAACCGTCACATCTCAAAAATGACGGTCAACTAGCATATCACTTGGAAACACCTCTACCTCACTAGACCATCTTCATAAAAGCCATCCATGACAGTGAGATTAAATGACAAGGAGGGAGTAGCACAATCATTCACTCACTGATCATCTCTGTTGGGCATTTATAAGTGGGAAGTGAGAATAATGCTCCCTCATTTTCCTGTTCTTGCTAAAAGTTGTTGAGTTCAGAACATACGAAAAATTTTGCAGAAAATGTTGGATTTTCATTTTCCTTTTAACAAATAAATATGTGGGTGCTATTACGTTACAATGTCGAAAAATATCCGTTTATCTTCAAAAATTCAATTTTTGCAAATTAAAGCCACTTTCACTTTTTTTTATGATCCATCGGCAATAAGGTTGTTCACGAGACACTTGCGATCAGTTGACTTTTTTTGTTTACCTTCCCTGTTCCCTTTTGACAGATCACAGTAGAACTGACAGTTTATTCTCATATGAATTTCTGCTTTGTTTATGATTACATTCAGCACCATTAACACCAGATCACTCACACATACAGATTTCTAGCTGTCAGTTCCACTGAGAAACGTCTCTTAGATCACCTTCTATCAATTCTCTTTTACGTACGCGTCATTGTTTACGATGCTTAATAAATCTCAAAACTGGCACAACTCACAATTGACAAGCTCACGAGAATTTTACCGTCAAAACAAATATCTATAGGAAAGTTTGAACATACTGAGAGGTAAGTACATATCATCGATAAGAGACGTGTGTGTGAGAAAATTTGCGAAAAAAAATCTAAGGGCACCGGATTCGAAACTCAAATGTCATTAGCCAAATACATCCGTAGACCATAGGTCCACCGTTGTATAATTGGCAATGCACCCGTGTACTGAATGGGAATTGTGGGTTCGAATCCCACCGGTGCCCTTAGATTTTTTCGCAAATTTTCTCACACACAATTCTCTTACCGATGATATGTGCTTACCTCTCAGTATGTTCAAACTTTCCTATAAACAATTAAATTGACTGCAAAGTCACTAAACCGTAAATCAAAAAACAAACATCTTTTCAACGTTATAACGTTTCATGCGAAAAGTGAAGCGAAAAATATTAAATTTATGAATTGCTCCGAAAAATTGCAAGGACCATCATGGAACCAACAGGTGGAACTTCGACAATTCAGTGCGAACCCGAACTTTTTGTAAGTGTAAACATCAACCTGAGCTGGGTTTTAAAAGCAAACGATCAAACTGACGTTTGTCCGAAAACATGCAGATCCAATCTTGATACCCGATCCAGGTTGGAACTGAATAATAAACAAATTTGCTATTCATTTTAGCGAAGATATATTGAAATACATTGCGTCTCCTTACGGACTTCAAAGTAACGATTTGAAGTTTTCTTTGTTGATGGATACCAATGGTTGCTTTGATTTCTAGCCACAATTCCAATATTTAGTGGGGAATTCCTATTTACGCAAGGATTTTTTATTGGTTTTGCTTTTTACGGATCCCTTGATACTTGGGCTTCGGTAATATGGATACGATATGCGGTCAGCATCCTAATTCTTGGAGCTCAAGCGTCACGGTATCCGAAAAAATGAATAGCTACAAAATCTCTATCCATGAATAAGCATTCGTGACTGCAGGTAGTACGTGTTCATGCAGATATGAATTATCACAATAATAATTACTGGTTATGATACCATTGTGTAACGCAGGATAAGACTTTTTCCTTGATACATCACAGCTATGAGCCGTGATTTTGGAAGGGGAATGACCGTCATAACCGTATTTATGCTGGAAATGAGATGACCGTCAATGACCACAGTGTTAGTGATATTGCGAATGAGTGAGAAAAGCAAAACAACGATATCTCACGGTTGTTGTATCATACTGGTGAGAAGTTTTACGGAGAGAGGGTTCTCAGTTGTTTCGATTATTAACCGTAGGAATCTCATTTGCTAATCTAAAGGCTTTCAGTACCGTGATGCAACTCAGCACTGGGTGTTACTCCTGCCAGAACCTCGAGACTTATATTATACGTTGAGTGCATACAGCCGAGAGCAATACGCAGACAACGAAATTGAATTCCTTCCAATTTTATTAACACTCCGAATACGGTGGGTAAAAAACTTTACGCCGACTACGAAGCCTCCGAAAAACGTGTAACGGCAAGTTTGCAATGGCACAACTTAGCCATTTATTAATGAATTTCAAAAATTGTGGTACCTTTAGAATTCCTAGGGTTTCTAGATTATATTGACTGCAAAAAACTTGAAAATAGAGTCGTCTACTTTTTTAAAAAGCGAAAAGAGTTGTTACACGTTTTTTTGAAAGGTGTGTTTGTAGGGTTTTGCAAGTGTCGCAAGATCTGTAATTTAGATTAATGGGCACAAATGTTCACAATTAGCCAGAATACAGTCATGGTTCCTATATATGGATCCT